TTTCCGTGGTCATGTGGCCGGCATGACTAAACACCAAGGCGCACGGAACGCTGTTACCTTCCCACCGAAGTGGTACCTATTTATCTACTTGCAATTTCTTGCTTTTGAACTGCTAGGTTGGCAGGAGCTGGAGCTAGAGACGGGAGCTCACTCCGTCATGCGGCACCCGGGTCTCGAACCGCTGAACTACTGACCTTCCACAGCCTGCAGTTCAGCATCTTAACCACTTGAGCCACCGCAGCTCCTCTGTCTCTTTATAGCCTTCTCTAAACCCAGCTGCTTTTTGGACTCCTTCAGTCTAGTTGTTTGGAATCAGTTTGGGGTTCAAACATCCCCGTTCAGCAACTGGCAGCAAAGGTGCAAAACAGAACTCCGTTGGTCCTGATTACTTGAGGGCTGCTTCCCCAGAGAGAGCCTCTAAGCTACTGCCTGCATCAGCCTCCCCTCTCTGGTGCGATGTCTCCAGTTCTGCCATGGCCAACAGATACTTCTGCTCCCAGTATCCCCAACACCAGGATTTCTTGGCCACGGAATACCCAAAGATGCTTATGGATCTAAGTGCCTTACTGGAAGACAGGCAGACATGCCCCCCCCCATCACTCTTTCTTCTACCGTGTGTGTCTTTCTCGGGGTAGGAGAAAAAAGTGGATGGCGAGAGGGGGGGCCTGCCCGCCTCTCTCTTTCCCCTCCCCCTCCCCCAAGACAACTGCCCAAGCCCCCAGACAAGACAGAACATGTGACGTACAAAATCAACTGTTGTGCACGGAAATCAAAATGGGAAAGGGAGGGAGGGAGAAGGGATAGCGGCCCTGAGGATACTCATTCCAGGTCTCTGTAGAACTTTTGTAATGGGGTCAGGGAGGGAAGATTGAAGGGCAACTCCTGGAGGCATACCTCTGCAGCACCCCCAGAGCAATAAGATTCTGAGCACAGATGCACTCCCCCCCCCCGCACCAAATAGCAGCCTGTTGGATTGTGGCTAGGACCCCCTCCCTCCCTTTCCAGCGCCTCTGTCCATCGCTCTCCCCCTCGCCTTCCCCACCAGAAGGGGGGTGGCGGTGTTTTGCCCTGTCAAAGAAGTCTTATTGTCCTTTTGCAACCCCTTACTGGAGCGGCCAGATGGAGAGCCTCCCAAAGGGTTAGGACCAATGCCTTCTCTAAGCTGTGGAGTCTTGTGAGCAAAAATTCTACTTTGTAAGCTACTGGCATTGAAGTTGTGAGCGAGCGATTTGGCTACTGCATACGTTAGTTTGCTCTGGAGCCCTCCTTCCTGAGCGAAGACAAAAAGGTGTGAGCTGGAGGCTAAAAAAACTGTGAGCAACCTCACACTGACTCAGCTTAGAGGGAACACTGGTTAGGACTAATCTCCCAACACTAATCCCCTCACCACCACCACCAGGGACACCCAAAGATCCTTCCCGTTCCTGATTAGGGCACCAAGATTCCTCGAGACCCCCCCTCCCAACTTCTATGCTGGAACGTAGAATCTCCCAGCACCTTCGGTCGCCTTACATTTCCCCTTGCCCCCCCAAAGCGCTTGGATTTGACCCCTTACTAACATCCTCCCCCCCCCCGCGCCGGTCGTCCCGCCGCTGGCTGCCTCCCCCGGTGATGTCCCCTTTGCCCTTGGGCCGGTCCAGAACTCTCCCTCTCCCCCCCTCCTCCCCCGCAAGCGCGGCAGACTCACGTGCGTTCTTGGAGCGGACGCCGGTTTAAAAGGAGGAGGAGGGGGAAGAGGGTGGAGGGAGCCGTGGGGGGGGTGTGAGACAATGCCTAGTTTCGGTTCAGACTTGAACTTTGCTCATTGCATGGTTCTTCTTTGGCTTCGGTCAAGGGGGGGGGAGAGAAGGGAAGCAGCTTTCCCTCCCAGTTCAACCCTCTTAGCAGTGGGACAAGGAT